GGCGGTGGGGGGGGGGTCTGCTGATGAGCGCTCACTGGAGTCGGGGGTGGGAGCGGTTTAGTTGGCCTATGAGAGTGGTTTCCTGGTTCATGGCTCAGTGGAGGCAGCTGCCAGGCTGAAAGGGGCTGGCTGGTAGACAGGAGGGGAGGAAACGAAGAGGGCGAGAATTTCGAGGGTTTCCAGAACTCTTTCGTTCTAAACAGCAGAAGGAAAGGGGGGATTTATTGAGAGGAAACAGGTGGCAGAGATGGGGCAGATTCTGCTGTCACACAGGAACTAGAAATTGGCCAACGAAGGGAATTTAAGATTTCTTATTCTTCACAGCCCCTTCCCCCACGCTCCCCTTAATGTACCCTCTCCACGGCCGCCATGGAAGAGCCTGCTCTCTTCTCTCTGTGTCAACCTCTCCTCTGGCTGCACTGTGCGGGGTTCGCTAGATGGAGTCCAAAGGCTAGTAAGAGGATGAGCCGAGATTTGAAACCAGACAGTGGGATTCTGGACGCCATGCCCTGAAGCCCATTCCCAGCTACCCCTCTGCAGACATCCGGCTGTGAGAGCCTTTGGCCCATTTTAAGAGAAAGAAGGAAATGGCACAGAGGTGGCAGAATTGGCATGACTGAGGCCCAGGGCCCACACCTGCTGGTCCAGAGAGATATCTGCACACCTACCCCCCCACCCCCCACCCCTCGCCCGGTGCCTTTAGAAGTTGAGGTTGGGGTGGAACATCAACTGGTTGACAGGAGGGATATGGCTTTTGAATGCTGCTGTCCCTGTGATTTCTGCAGCGAATCGCTACCTTTGCCGGCTGTAAAACCACCACCTCGGCGGTCATGGTGCACTGCCTGCGCCAGAAGTCGGAGGAGGAGCTCCTGGAAACGTCGCTGAAGATGGTAGGTGCCTCCATTCATGTTCCACTCAGGCCTCCCCTCCCCCCTCCCGCCCTGGGAACTTGGCCTCAGGCTTTATCATCTCAGCTGCCTCCTTGTCCCAGAAATGCTGCCTGGGACAGGGTCTCCCCTCAGGATTAATGGCACCCCTCAACCTAAATGGGGAATTTCTTTTCTTCTCTTTTATTATGAAATACTTGAAATGTTAGCAAAGTCAAAAACTAACATAGTGATCAATCGTGTAATAATCCTCCAGCTTGGTCAAAATGTACTATGGCGCCATTCTTGTTTTCAGAGATATATTTTTAAAGAAATTAGACACTATTTACTCCTAGAGGTAACTACCATCCTGAATTTGGGGAAGGGGGATATCAAGAACAAAGATTTCAGAAAGGTTGTCAAAATGATTATTGGTTAATTTAGAAATGATCAGCTATGACCCAGTGGTGGCCCAAGGTTCTAGATTTTCTGAGACCCTGCCTCAGTTGTGATCCTAGGCTGATCATCCATCCATTCATCATCTTATTATGTCTATCCCTCCACAAATATATCCATTTCATTAATATCCTTTCCTCATCCAAATATCAATCTATCCATAACTTTCATTTATCTATTATCAATCATTCATGCATCATCCAGCCACTATATATCTTTACTTCACCATTCATCCCTCTAAAATCAATGATCCATTAATCATGTATATACTAGTTATCATCCTTTTATTCACTCAACCATCCAGTGCACCCATATTCCATGTATTGACCAAATCCATCCATTTACCCATCCATCACTCCATCCATCCATCACTCCATCCCTCCATCACTCCATTCATCATCCATCCATCCATCCATCCATCCATCCATCCATCTGCCAATGTGGTGGGAGCACAGAGAAGAGAATCATTCATTACAATCATTAGGGATAACTCACAGAGACGTTGACATTTGAGGACTGAAGCGGGGCTATGGCATGGGTCATTACAGGGAGACACCCAGAGAATACAGCATCTAGGGCCAATGGAAACTCTTCCCTTTTTTTTCAAAGATGGGGTGAGTGTGAGCCCAAAAGTAACCTGAGTCCCTGCACTTGCTGTTTGGACCCTATGGGCTTCCGGAGACATTCCTGGGCCCCCAAGGCAGGCCTCTCATGTGGAGCTCCACTTTGTGTCCATGGGTTGAACCCAGGGCAGCCTTAGGGCTTGGGTCCCGGTTTCTCAGACTCAATAAAGGTGACCAGTGTTTTGAAAGAATTAAAACTGGAAAGAGACATTTATTCCACGTGGCACAAGAGGACCCAGCTTGTAAGGTTCTAAGGGGAGGACTGGTCACTTAGGGAAAACTCAGAGAACCCATATTATTACCCTTCTGAGACTTTCTGGGATCATGTGGAAGTCTTTCCATGTGTATCCACTCTCCCAACACACACACACAGACACACACACACACACAAACGCGCGTGCACACACACACACACACACACACACACACACACACCATAAGCACCTGTTTGGTAAGATAGTCTTGAGTTGATGTGGCTGGTTCTCTTTCCTTTCTTCCCCCTGCTCCACCATGCATATATACTTTTAATTTTCTCTAAGTTTCCCCTTCCCTTCTAGACAATCACTGAATGTATTAAGAGTTACTTGTAGAATGCACTAGACATACAAAAAAGTATGGGAGAAGATAATATTTTGAGGACTACTGGTTCATCCCCTTTGAACTGGAAAATTGTTTAGATGACCTATGAGGCTTTTTTGTTTAAGTATCTCCAATCCTTGCTTCTCTCCCAAAGCTTGATGTACTATAGTTAA